TCAGATCATCTGTGGTGCTCAGCTATTACCTATGATCGTGAAGGTTTTCAGTCCAGTCTACAAACTAAGTCTGTCTCCTGTGGTGTGAATTCAGGCTTGAGAAGAAGCAAGGAAGATTTCGATTATGTCTGTCAAAGAGCATAGCAGCATTTTTAGAGTAAGAAATAGCCCATAGGATTAAGCTTAGGCCTGCACAGTGCACTAGACCTGGCACCTGGTCAATGTTCATCTACCGACTGGAACCCGAGGCAAAGAGAGCCACTGGCCCACGGGTGTTGCCCTATGGGGCAACTGCTGTTCCTGTGCTGCTGTCCCTGTCCCCACCACTGGGCAGCACGGTGATGTGGGCTCACACTGTAAATCAGGGTGATGGAATGATCTGGGCTAGAAATAACCTTTTTCTGGGGGGGCAAGGAGTGTCTTCAGCAGTTGATTCACCCGGTGTCTTCACCCTAGAGAGAAACGATGTTCAATACAGCTTGGACCCTTGGGTCAAGAGGGACAGTTTGGCCTTGATGCCCTCTTGTTCACCTGTTAATATCTAGCACACAATATCCACATATCCACAGCATCTTCCCTCACACCTGAGTCCTCCCAGGGAGCAAGGGCAGCTCTTGGAGACTCCTCATTAGGTCACTGGCCTCAGGAACCGAATGCTCCCCTCCCCCCCGTACACAACTGTTCCTCATTTACATAAATTATCTCTATTCAATTATCTGTCCAGATGTCCGAATTGTGCCACCAATGATCTGTGAATGAATTAAAAATGGAATATAATTTAATAATAACTGATTAGAAGGAGATTAGTTGTTATATAAAAAGGAAAAACCAAGAGATAGCTAGTTGCCCTTAATCCGAGCCAATCCACAGTAATTATGGAAATACAGTCTTGCTTGCTCCTCTTCCCCATTTCTCTTCTTCTCCCCCCCATTTTCTCTCTTTCTCCTTTTCCCTTTTCTGTCTCTCCTTTCTTTCCTCGCTCTCTCTCTCTCTCTCTCCCCTCTCTTCTTCTTTTTCACATTCTTTGTCTCTGTCCCTCCCGTATCTTCTCTCCACTTTCTCTTCCTGATTATACCTACCTAGGTCAACAGAGTTAAAGTCCCTCTGGCTGCTGGTACACCCGTGTTGCTGTGGATCCAACCAACAAGAGCTTCCAGCTGCTTTAATGTCTGTCTTTCAAACCATTTTAATGATGTCTCTCTATACTCTCACTTTTCTATTAAATAAGTTTGGAATCTCTGCCTTTTCTCTTCATTCCTAATTCAGACTTTTTTCCTCTCGGTGTCTTTTGGAGTCATGCAGAGCAGCTTCTAC